AAATTTCATGTCATAAGCACCTCTAGCAATATATTTACTGAGAAAAATGGTGACGTGTTCAATACTTATTTTACCCGCTGTAAATACCGAAAGGAAAGAGAAATTTCACAGTGTTCCTTAATGTTTAACTCTCTCCACAGAAAAGGCTTGTGTGAGAGGAGCCTGTTTTGAGTGTAGAGCTCTAAAATAAATTATAAAATCTTTTCAAAAGAGTCTTCAGCTGCAGCAGTAATAATTAACTAACGCCTAATATATGTGACTGAATATGTCTTTCATTCCTATATTAAAATCAAATCAAATTAATTCATACTTGGTGGTGTAACAATCACCACGGTCACATTTTTTTAACCAACAACACAGCAGGAAAAACTAAATAAACAGTGGCATAAAAACATATCTGAACTTTTTAAGACCAATCATCAGTCGTAAATCAGGATTGTWCACTTCGCTCCCATTGGTTAGAGGTTCTCCTCTTTTAGATAAACAGAAGCAGCCGTGGAGACGTTTGTCAGATCTGAGTCTCTCCTGATGCCAAATCTGTCAAATCTGATCAAACCTAAAAGAGTCTTAAAGGAGCAGACTGACGTTTTTGACTGTTGGTTTATTAATACTTAATCAGTTTGAAAAATCACTTTAAGCTTTGATGTTGTTGATTTAGTCAGGAATAGCAGGGGTTCCAGTGACACAGTAAATATTTCCTGTTTCTGAATCGTGTCACCTCCCCCCAACAGGAATGCCTATGTTCCCCCCAGCTCATCACGGAGGACGAGGGGCTGAGCCGGCTGGCCCAGACCATCCAAGTTCTTTCAGACCTGGCAGACAAAACCCAGCAGCCCCTCTGCAGGACCGGCTCACCGAGCTAACGCTTCACGGAGCTGTTGGCTGAAGGCTGCCTCTGACAGTGGGATCTCAGGGCCACACTGTTTTCTTCACAAGCTTCAGCACGAAACTGTTGCTACATTCCAGAAACTTTAGTAAAATAAATAAATAAATACCAGAACTACTAAAATTAAACCATAAACTGTTCTTTGAGTCTTATTTCAGGTGTTTTCTGTGACACAAGTCAAAGTTTTCTGGTCACAACAAGGAGTGAAGTGAGTGGAGCAAAAATACAGAAAAAAGTGTTTTTTATTTCTGTAAAAAGCCTCAGATAAAGTCAAATGTGCCAAAAACAAGTCTCATTTTTCATTATTAAAGATTTAAAATAATACAGTTCTCTGAATTTAAAAGGAAAAAAAAAAGGAATAACATGACTGACCAGGGGAAAACTTCATTTACAGGTTGTTCAAAGATTAAACATTTCCTGAAATTAAAGTTGTAAAGGTTTGTGTAATATGTTTACTGTTCCAGGATTTTATAATAATTAAATCTCATCTGAAAAATTCGAACACCACCTGCTGCTTTTCTTACTGAATAATAATGTCTTAAAGCTAACCGGTTCATTTTACAGTGTATTTTTGGTGAGGTCCACAGGATATACGTTAATMTTCACAAAATGTTTAGACATTGTAAAGTCAGGATCTCACTGGGCTGCGACTGATGGAGACCGGCTGGACTCAGATGTTCAGGAAGACAAACAACTTTTCTGTTGCAGTTTGCAACAGAAAAGCGATTGTTTAGAGTGACCTGTTTTAGAAAAATCATGGCCCATTTTTAAGTACACCATGTGTGATTACATTTTGAGATGTCTATTTTGGAGTTGTAGCCCCCCCCGGAGAAAAATCCACCAGCCGCCACTGTTCTCCACCCTGGCTTCCCTCTATGTTTTCCTGATATTTGTAAGTTTTTGTTTTGCCGCCACATCGGCTTTTTATTTAATAAAGATTTTTACTTTTGAGCCTGCCGYCCTGCTTTCCTGCATTTGGGTCCAAACCTGCRTACCAGACCTGATAGTWTTAAATAGATACATTAATTTKTCCAATTTTACATGAATTCTTCTTTAGAATTASTTGAAGTTCAAGCTAATGAAAGAATAACTCTGTGAAAGCCTTTCAGATTTAACAAACACTTGTTTCTGAATGTTCACCAGCGGTCTGATGTGTTACTTTTAACTCCTYGCTTGTAACATGGTCTGTTGCATAAATAATCAACAAAAACACATCTAAATGAGATACCACGTCAATATCTATCATTTAACACCAGATTTATGACATTTTATTCTGACATGGTAAATCTACATGTAAGTTTGAGATCCTGAAGATTCTGAACTGTGCACACWKTGASTAGGGGTCAAAAYCTGGTCCCTGTGGAGTAGTACCTACAYTTTTTATTTTGTTTACAGACTTTTCTGAATAAGTGGATCCTTAGGTACATGAAACGGCTAAGAAAGTTGAATATTTAGGATCTGTGTGMTAAACTRAGATAAAAGATGAAAATTTTCATCTTCTGTTGGGGTTGTGACAATTTGACCCTCTGATGACATATTTGCATATCATTTTAATGAAAAGTCATTTCAGTCGAAGAACTAATCAATACAAATCTGCTGATACCTTGTTTTTAAAATGTGGTTGGTTTATAGCAAAGTTATTAGCATTTAATTTTCATGTATAAACCTAAATTTGATGGTAAAAATGAAAAAGGGGTGTGGTCAAAAAGTTGCCCCTGAGGGGCAGTGAGACCCAACTTTTTTTCTGTTAACATGCTTTTTTTTGAAAGAGTGGACCCTGGGGTACATGAAAATACCAGAGAAGTTCAGCAGTGAGGTGTGCATGGTGACCCACCCTAACCCACAGACTGAAAAGATGAAAATTTTCCTCCTCTGTTTGGGTTGTGACCTTTTGACCCCCCAATGACATCATTGTTTGCACATTTATTTAACAAAATGTCATTTAAACTGAAGAGCATTAACAAGGTATCAGCAGATTCATACTGATTACAATATGAATCTGCTGATATCCTGTTTTTAAATTTTGATTGGTTAATACCAAAGTTATTGGCAGTTAAGCTTCCTGTCCCCTTAATTTTGATGGTCACATAGAAGTTCAGTAGTGGGGGTGGGGGGGAGGTGCATGGTGAGCCACCCTAGCCCATGGACTATTAGGACTGTTAGGAAAATTCTAATTTATAGACTTTCAGCTGGTGAAAGATGATGCTGATGTGAAAGTCAGCATTTGACTCAGTAGAACTAACCTGGATGCATTTTAAGCTTCATCACAAGAAGCTGTGTGTGAGAGAAAAGAACCAGTGTGACTGTGTTCCTCACCAGCTCCATTCATTTCCGTGGCTCAGCGGCAGAAGGCTGGCCTGAGGAAAGACATTATTGTATTTATCCAGCTTCCCCCTGGCCCCTGGCTGCACAGACCTTGAATTATCTACCGTGGACTTGAGGGGAAATGCAGTCCTTTTCATTTAGAGCACGTCTACTGTCTGGTTCAGAATCCACCCTACAGGTTTGTTTGGGTGCCAGGCATCCTGGTAATGGACTGGGAAAACGTCTACATCAATATATCTCCCCACGAGGCCATTCCTCCTTGCTGTCCAATAGCATTCCACTCCAAGCATAAACTCTTTAAATACGTTAGTCTCTAGAGACGAGAGCAGCTTCTTGCACATATTTTGTTTCCAACTGAGTGAAAATCATTAAGAGGAGGTGAGAGTGGAGAGAAGTCAGTGTGTGAGGCTTCCTGTGTGACTAATGTCATGTACCATAAGATCATCAGGACAGGAATGGATCACTCTGAATGAAAAGAAAAATACATGCATTAAGAAGATATGACTTTAATCTATAGTATAAGTTATTAATCTGGAAACTGCAATTTTTTAAATTTGTTRAACTTTTTTAAAACTCCCCACAAATGTTAAGACTTTACAGTTCTTTGAAAAACATTGTTCTCTGAAAATCACTTCAACGTTTATTCAGTTTTTGGCTGTGTCCAAAATTGTAGGCCATGTCCTCCGAAGGACCRGGTCGAGGTGGGCCAGGTCCTTGGTGGACAGGGAAGACCGGAAAAAGTGTCTGTGAATTTGGATGGTTTAGCCTCCCGTCCTTACTCCGGCACACGTCATGTCACCTAGAAACCGTAATAATGCTAAACAGAAGCAAAATTAGATCAAAATTAGAAAAATATCAATTTGTTAGCGTTATTAATATCAAAAACAATTCAGATCCAGATTCAGAGTCATTTATTGTCATTCACACACAACATCAAAAATGCAATGCAGAACGCAATTACGGTTTAGAACATCTGTCCGGAGAAAGACACACATAACAAACATAACAAACATAACAAACATGAGGGAACGAATGTCCAGTGTCTTTCGCACCACGGTGCGCTACCTTTTGCAACTTGGAACACACACACAATAGGAAAGGTGAGTTAAAAATGAGGTCTGATCCTATGTTTTACACAGAAACACAGAAACATGCGCTCAAAAAACTAACAACTCACATATAGTGCAAGGAGCTAAGGAGGGGAGGGGGTGGGGTCAACACATGGTACGGGGTAGGATGCGGAAGAGCCGGTGTCATTTAAGGTTAATACTCTGAGCTGGAACCAATCAAAGGCCTTCAAATCCAAAACAAGTTGTCATCAACCAGAGCACAATTCACCAGAGTTCAGTTCTCTGTCTCCACCCATCGTGGCCTTCAGACTGATCCACCCGGGGATACAGGAAGGGGATGGGGGGTCAAGCCTCTGTCTCATGTGTCATCCATGGGAGGTTATAATGCTGCCGACCAAGGTCAGCAGCTGCAGGGATCCAAAGACAAACATAATTGGGGCAAACAGCCTTGATTTCTCACTGTTTTTAGTCTAAACTGCATCTCTGTGATGGCGAAAAAAGCCAATGTTCCGAATTCTAGTTACCTCATTGCCTCTCTTTCTGTCTGAAACCTCACCCAGGTGTAACCCTACATCTCATGGGCACACTGCTGAGCTGTGATTCTCGTCAGAATCACATCCAGTTTGCAACTTACATCCCCCAACATGTGTTTCCAGTACGAGAGATACTCTCCATGGTTCCTGACAGCTTTTGACTGGCCCAGACTGCTGTCAGGATCGCTTTCAATTTCCGATAAGCTAGGACTCCTCCACAGCCGATCAGCAGGATCCAGTTATCATGAATCCAAATATGAACAGATTTTCAACATCCTCAATAGAAAGCGGCGCCAAACAGATCAGGTTCCACCCCCACGAAACAGASACTCGCCCTGCCGCCACCGTTCCACTGGGACAGCTGCGCTCCCCACSTTTTTATCTCAGTGGGGAAAATATAGTGTCGATTGTGTTCAGAGACCAGTTGACCAAATCCATAATGCCTTTAGTTTTTGGATGATAGGTAGTTAGGCTTGAAAAAGCTGCAAAGCAGGGAAGGGGGAACAGGTTTGGGAGAGAGAGCAAAAAGCGTCCGACACTCAAGGCCAAGCAGAAAAAAACAACAACAACAAAAAACAACAACAATAAAATTAACTTAAAGTTMAAGAACTAACTGTCCCGCCGTCAGTGGCGGCTGGTGGATTTTTCTCCGGGGGGGTGGCTACAACTCCAAAATAGACATATCTCAGAAAGCAATCAAACGTACTAAGTTGTATCACGACAGTGATTAAACAAATCCAAATAATAAAACAGCCTTACAATGTCACATAGTGTTTTTTGTGTACATAAATTTTGCTCTTCTGTTACAGAGAAGCAAATCTCTTCATGACTCTGGTTAAAGTCAGGGATGTTTTAACAAGATTATTCTCTATTGAGCATGGTCAGTGCAGTGAGATGTGATGTTGTACCTGAGGAAAGTCTGGATTGTCTTCAGTGTTCAGCATGCAGTTAGCCAAAACCTTAATGCTAAACCACGTTTTTGCTCAATTTTAATTATGTCCGGCTTACCCAGTCCAAGCTACTTCACTTTAAGTTTCTCCTCATATGTTCTGCTTTGAAAAGGTTTAGAAGAGACTTATGGTGTTGTTTTCTCTTTCATTCTCGTTTGTTGTTCTCCAAAACCCACTTCCTGATAGCCCTGCCATCTGCCGCATTAATATGACGTSGAGTCGTTGACAGGGTGGACCCACCACAGGTCAGCTGCAGGGCGGTGACAAGTGAAGGGGTCTCTGCAGAATGTGTCCTGTGGGCGGAGACGGCCCTGCTCGTGATTGGCGGAGGTCTTGATGTGGGCAGAGATGGCCCAAGAGATGTGATTAGTCAGATTGATGGGAGAAGGGGTTATCTGCGGAATCAAAGTGGGCGTGTCACAAGAATGGGCGTGTCAAAAGCATAAACACTGTGGGCTACGAGGCCTACATGACGGTATCCTTGATGTCTTTACAGCTTGACCCTGACCCCAACACTAATGTTAACCTGGAGAAATGTGACCCAAGTATGGTTCTCCAGAAAAAGTGGTGCCATACAGTAACGCCCCTTTTGTTCTTGTTCAATCAGGTGGTGCCATACGGTATCGCCTCTTTTTTGCTTGTCCAGTCAGGTGTGTCCCTTTAACAAAGTCCGTCAAATCAGGTGTGTCGCTTTAGAATCGCCTTTCCTTGTGACACGTCCACTCGTCCGCAGAGACCCCTACTTGATTGACAGTGGGGTTTGAGGAGGCCGGAGGCAGCGGGGTGTAGCTTGGCCGAGTCAGGCAGGAAGTAACATGTCTTTTTTTAGATTAATTTTAGTCATAACGTGAGAAAGGAAAGTGCTAGCTGCATGGAATTTGATCATACATTTGAAAGGATGTGTAACGATATGGCTTGGTTAAAACATCCCTAACCAGTCTGTAAAAAATATTGATTTTTAGCTATCTTTTTACAGGCTGATTAGGGATGTTTCAACCAACCATATTCTGGTACATTATTTTTAAGGTTGATCTAAATGGCTAAAACTCTGTCATATGTAAACATAAAATGATTTCAGTCTAAATCTCTGGTATGAAAGGTTAGTTAGTTGATATAAATTGTTTCAAGTAATGCTAGACCAATTAATTTGACCCCTTTACAGTCTTTGTTCCACCGGTTGGCAAAAACGGTGCAGTTTTTGCATCTTTGGTGGAGAGGTTAGGGGAGTCGCCCTGTAACCGGAGGGCTGACGGTTTGATCCGCAGTTTCAGCCGTCTCAGCCATTGTGCCCTGATGGTGGTGCTGCTGCATGGCAGCCCCACCCACCTCTGTCAGTGTGCCCCAGGGCAGCTGTGGCTACAATGTAGCTTACCATCATCAATATGAATGTGTGTGTGAATGGGTGAATAACAGTAAATGTAAAGCGCTTTGGGATCCGACTGGTCTTGATAAAGACCTATATAAATTCTGACCATTTATTTACTATTTAAAAGTTTTCAGACGCTACCAGGGGCTATTTTGTGTGTGTATGTGTGTGTGTGTGTGTGT